ATATTTGACTAACAAAACAAAACAAAAACACTAAGCACAATGCAAGCCTCCCAAATGTTGTTTATCATCTGTGTATCTGACAGGCTGGCAGACAGAGGGATCTGATAAGCGGCCTCTGTTTAGGACGAGCAGCATTTATCATCCTGCTTCACAGACGGCTAATGCGGTCAGAGGATCAGGGAGGGCAGCTTTGAGAGATTTGCATGGAGCACTGCTATCTTCTATCGAGTTTGTCAGCAAGTGGGGAAAGTTTGATGAGCACGGAAGGAGCTACATGGGAGATCTCATAGATTGCGCAAAGATGCAAAGCATGATAAAATTAAAACCAAAATATCTCTTGGTCAGTGTGAGTGTAGGACAACTTTAAATGCTGTTTTTGTTGGTTTGAGAAGACTATATAGAGTCCAACTACGTGAATACTCTGCTGCATCTGTAAATTGACTCCAATATGTCTCCAGTTAACACAGCTTTTTGAATCATGTGCTTGTTTGTTTTTTCTTCTTTTACCTTAATTATGAGTAGAACTGTTGGTGGGAATATGCAGGGAATAATTTGCCCAATAGAAGTTGGTAGGAAACACGTGGGATTGTGTTAAGGGACTACAATGCAATGGTTTTAAAATTCTGCTTAAAAAGTCAAGATTGAAAATGTTTTTACTGGCTGCAGATAAAATGAAAAGCAACTATCAAAGAATTAAAACTTTTTTTTTTTTTACCTGTAACAATAATTTACGCTTCTTCCAAACAGAGGATACATGATGCTGATGAATACAACATTTAATAGGGGCTATTTTGGATTATTTGGTATCTTCTATTTTCTTTGTTTAATCTCTATTCATTGCTAACAGTTATTTTTAGTATTTCTGTTATTTTTTTATTGCACGATGGGCTTATGTTTAAAAAGAATGTTTAAGTTTACTTGTGTTTGTGCAGTTGTTGGATATTTTGGCCTGATAATGGTAAAAAAAAAAAAAAAAGGACATGTCACTGTGACGAGGGATATCTTTGTAGAGAATCAGGAACTACAAATAATCAATCACCATTAGACTGCGCTTCTTTGGCTGGATTTCTTTACTGAATTTAAACCATTTCTTACATGTGACACACATTTCATCTTCAATATTGTATTGCATTGTGGTGGTTACAGTTTTAGTTAAAGCCAGGTATTTCTTTTGAGTTTTGGGATCTTTTGATTCACATCCCACTGTTCTACTCCTGTCAAACTATGTTAAATCCATTGTCTTTTCTATGGTACAGTGTGTCCAAAGAAATTGATTTCAGAGAGTAAACATCCAGCATCGGAAAAGATCTGATATTGCAATCAGAAACATTTCAGTTTACTACCTTTTTTGGCTTCATAATGGGTTTGAGCCATCTTTACTCTGTATTTCAACCTTCAAAATAGTTTTTCTTACTTAGTCAGCTATGATGACATAAACTAACACTGTGTAATACGATGTGGGTTGTAAAAAATATTGAGAATAAGAAAAGTATCGATATTCAAACACTAATTTGGATTAGCATCGATACTGGAGACAGGTCTTGTTTGCACATTTTTGCCACTGTTAAATTTATATTTCTAGATCCTTTTCTAGATAATTTGGGTGGCTCAGCACAGGAAGAAGGTTCTTGGTGCGATTCCCAGCCCGAGGTCTTTCTGCATGAAGTTTGCATGTTCTCCCTGAGCATGCGTGGGTTCTCTCCGGGTACTCCGGCTTCCTCCCACAGTCCCAAAACATGACTGTTAGGTTAATTGGCTTCTCTAAATTCTCCTTAGATGTGAGTGTGTGCGTGAATGGTTGTTAGTCCTGTTTGTCACTTTGTTGCCCTGCGATGGACTGGCGACCTGTCCAGGGTGCACCTCACCTCTCGACCGTGCACAGCTGGAGATAGGCACCAGCACCTATCACGACCAAACTTGGAATAAGCGTGATGGAAAATGGATGGATTTATTGTACAGTAAAAGATTAATAATTTAGACAACCCTATATTATTGTTAAATTGTGTTGTATTTGGTTTATTTATCTACAAAACTAACCTCTGTAATTATTTTGAGAAAGTAAGTTATGAGGAAGACAAGTTTTTCAAGAGGCATTATGCATGTTTTTACTGAAAAATATCTTTAAAATAGCTGTTTTACTCAGCCCTTTATGACTAAAACATAGTTTGATGAGCACCTCAGTAGATCGATGCATCTATAAGCGTGTAGCCTATTTTCCATGAATATATTCCCACGCCGTTCGGTGAATGCGTCATCAAGACACCATGTTAAATGGGTCCAACATAACAAACATTTAAAGCTTTACAGAAAAATGGAGTTTGTGAAGTAACTGGCATCCAGCTCAACTCAGACACTAATGACAATGCCACATAAGGTGAAAAAAGTTAAAAAAGAAAAAAAAACTTGTTAAGAACAAGCGCCAGCTACGAGAATGAGAAGAGTGCTACAGTTCTGTGCTTTGACCACAGAAAGCAGTATCATTAGAAAATTCTGAAATGCCTCTTTAATAAAAATATGTTTTATTCCTGACATTATTTTAAAATTTTCCTCCACATGGTATAAAAATTATTTTGTATTGATATCTTGCTGTGTATGTCGTGACAACCCTACTTTGATCTTAACACTGCAAATGTGAATTTATGGTGAAAGGTTAAAGGCTTTTCATGAAACCAAAATCGAAGATATCATTATAAGATCCAGATTTAAAGATACGTGGTTAAACTTAAATTCTAACTTAGTTGCATCAACTTTAGGGAATATAACTTTAAAATGATGAAGGAATCCTCTCTTTCAGTGATCCAGTAGTGCTCATTAAAATCCTGCTCATTTATAAATCATTAAAAATGCCTAAACTGCTGTTTTAACATGTATGTGGCTGGACTTAGGATCCTCAGCGTGGAAAAAAAAGACAGAAATTAACTTTAAGATATAAACATAATGACATTGCTGCAATTATTTTTTTTTTCATCTTGTAACAGTGATAAATTATGCATATTCTACAACAATGAAAACTGTATTTATCTTAAAGCAGTGTTGTTTTACGTTCACTGTCCACTGCACCATTCTTGGAAAAAAAATGTCCTGTGGCAGCCAACATTCTATGCATGTAGGATTCGTCCATGCATTACCTCTTATTTTGAAAAAGTACCAGATTCACGTTACTTTTTTCAAGACTTCCGGTTCAACTCTTTTTTTTTTTTTTTTGAGAGAGAGAGAGATTGGCACATCTTGCTCTGACAACAGTGATGAATATACACAATCCATATTTCTGGTAGATGAAGAAGGGAAACTGTCCATCATGTCATGTACCAAGAAGTCAATAAGGCTTACCAAATTGACTAGAAAGGCTTCTATTTGCAATGCAACTGAGGAACAAGGGGTTATGCTTTTTCAGGTCTGTTCGGAAAACCAGAATTCTTTTTTTTTTTAACTGACAATTCAAAGTTTATTATGTCTTTGCAGACAATGTTTTATTTTATTTTGAAAGCCAAAGGTCGTCATGCACTTCTTTAGTACTAAATGCATTAACTTACTTGGGTCAATCATTTTTAATCTCTTTTAGGCGGGTTTAACAATTGGTTTGATCACCTGCATTTTTTTCAATAATTGAAATTTTGAATGAAGACTTTCAGTGGTTTTCCAAAATATTCACTTTATGGCTTTAAAGACACTTTTCAAATAATTTTAAGCTATGTTTAGGGACATTGACAATTTGAAGTAACTTGTGACTATATTTCAACTGCTTGGTTAATGTCCTAAGATGTTACTTAACTATTTCCACATATTGTTATTTGAAGTGTGTTATCCAACTGGTAGTGAAACAACTGCGTGACATTATGCAGCCCTCTATGTTCTGCAGAGTTAAGATTTCATGATTGGGCTTTCAGGCTTCCCCCTTTGATATGCAAATGTAAGAAAGTTAATATGAAATAAAGTAAAAAAAAAATTCACTTTTGTTGCTTTCCAAAAGAAAGGTATTTGTCCCTGAATGCATTTGCAAGCTGAAATTTGGCTTTTTTGTTGCTTTTAAATTAAGGATTTCTTCTTTTCCAATTAGCTCTTTAACCCATGTCACTGTAGAGCCTCTTTCACTGTGGATAATGTTCTCTTTCCAGTTTAGATCTGCTTGTTAACAATGTCTAACACTTTCCAATAACTACAAAAACAATATATATAGGTGTGCCTGACAAACCACTGACTATCATTTATATACCAAATGAAGGGCAGTCTGCTGTTTTCTTTATAGAGTTGATTGGTCTGTCTCTGTTTCTATGAAAATAAATCTTCAACCAAGACTTAGGGCATGCAACTAAACCTCAGCTGTATAAAAGTAATCTTTAGTAATGGTGTTTCACTTTGAAGGATTATGCATATTCTTGTGTGAAAGTTAACCAATAATTTTGGCTGAAAAGTACCCTAGTGGCATTTTACAAATTAGCAGAAGCTGTTTTTTTCCACAACTTTTGGTAGTTTCTAGGTCTTCAGGACCCAACAGTTCCTTCTTTTTCAAACATTGAACATAATATAAATACAACCCACTATTTATTTTTTTTTCTTTCAAGATTTATGTAAATTTCAGAGAACAAAGTCACCAAAGTGACATGGCTTCACCTTTTGACCAAGCAGCCATGGTATAGAGTCTTCTCAATTTCAAAGGCAAGCTTCACCACCTGAGCCAATTAGGTTGACTGTAGCTGCATCCTTCCGTTTTGTCTATCAGCCCAGGGTGGGGTTGCCATTTGCATGTAACCTCAGTCTATTATCCTAATGTGCTGGTGCTCTGCATACAAATGGATGCATTTATTTTGCTGCTCCTTGGCCTTCACCCTTCAAATGCCCACCTGACAGGAATTCAAATGTTCCTTGCTACTGCTGTATCTGACTCTGTTTAGCACTCTCATTTTGGATACTGAAAGAAGACAGTGCTCTTCCTAAGAGATAGCTGGCTTCGCCTGAGAAAGGTGTGATCCGACAGACGTCGTCTGATTGTTTGGTGTCAGCTTCAGAGGCCTGCAGGTCAGGTGATTTACAACATTACTTGCTAAACATGAGCGCATGGTGCAGTGGTGGTTGTGCAACCAAGAAGGAAAAAAGCTGTCCTGTTCAAGAAATGTTTCCTAATTGTAAACGAAATCATAAGAACATTGTGTACACACAGAAAAGAAAAAAAAAATGTTTTAATGCAATACTGGTGGATTGAACCTTTCAAAAAGAGTGTGCACCTTATATACTGATGGAATCCAGAGTTGCCAAAACACAGACAGGGGCTTCTGCACACATTCCTGCAAAGTTAGCTCCTGACACACACACACACACACACACTGTTCAATCCCTCTCACTGCAAGCCAGCTGCGTGGTAGGTAGCACTAACACAGAGATAATTTACGACTGAGGTCCTACCGTTGCGCCCAGACGGTCACAGGGGTGAAGGGCCGGGTAGGAAGAAACTGGATCCATGTAGTAACTCATCACGGACACGGCAGACAGAAGAAGCAGGGCCTGCTGAAAGGATCAACATGCAAACAACCCAGGCAGGGTAGGATGAGCAATCTATCACACAATTGTTTACACTTGGTGTGTACAAGTCTGTAGTATGTGCTGTGTTTTGTGTGTAGGGATGGGGGGTGAGGGATTTAAAGTGGGTCTCTACAAGCTGTAACCTCATTTACTCACTTGAGGCTTTAAAAAGAACAACATTATGCTGGATCATTATTTAAATAAATGATTCCATCCTACACTGATCTACCATTCCCATCACTTCCCCTCTGTCTCTCGCTTCCCATTATGCTATCACCTCCTTTCATCAAACCCACTTCTTCCTCCTAGTCCTCCCCTTCCTCCCGTCTTTCCCTTTTCCTCTCCTCCTCAACTCGCTCCCACACATTTTACTTCTCACTTAACTAGATGCAATGCTGCAGGGTTGGTACATTGAAGGGGAAACGGGCAGTGTCATTTTGCAACACAGGTCCCCATCTTCCTCACATTCATATGTTAAGCAATTTGGCATTTCTAGGCTCTGTGGCAGCTGCTTGCAGACTGAGCGTTCAATGCTTGCAGATGTTCAGCAGCTCAAAGAGTCAGATGCGCTTGTTTCAGATGGGGGGGGGGCATACACTGAGTGAATGAAACTCAAATCAGTTCTGCCATTAAGGTTCTTGACTCACCTTGTTTTGTTTTTAAATCGAGGCAATTTTGGAATAAAAAAAAAGGAATCTGTGCAGATTAATTTAGAGTTTTGCTTTTTTTTTTTTAGACTACAGCTGAGATCCTGATCATCATAATAACATGGAGGAGTTTAAGAAAAAGTCAAGTATTATTTTTTTTTAGGTTATTACATTGTAATTTGAAAAATGAGGAAAGTAGTTGCAAAACGCCCCCTTTGAATCAATCAGAATTCCTAACGGGAGAAAAGAAAAACTTTACAGGAAGCACTTTTCCCGGAGTCCAGATAAGACCACAACCTCATCCAAACACTTAAGCTTTGCTTGAAAAGAATTTTAAAAACATCCGACTTACCGATTGCAGTGCTTGAAGTTTTCTATAGAGGCTGGAAGCGCTGGACAGCTGAGGATGACAGCTGAGCGGCGGACTGCAGAGATGCTGTACCTGCTTGCAGCAAGTCCCGCGGAGGAAGGGATATTATGCGCGCTTCTAGTCCCTCCCTCAATCGCACGGCGATCCTCTCCAAATCCCAGTTTCCCTCTGCATGGAAAACAATCTGGACTTCACATGGTGCAGCTACATCACAGGTGGAATCATGTTAAGAACTATAGTTAGCCACTCTAGAATATTCACAGGTGTTTAAAATTAATTTATAATATAAAAAAAAATGCATTTAGTAAAACTTTTTTTTTTTTTGGCAAGTCAGGGGTGAAAAAAAAACTTTATTTCTTCAGAAGCTGACAGAGCTACTGTATAGACTAATATATTAAGGAAAAACTATGTTGAATGGAATGAAAATTGTGGGAAAAAATATTGCAAAAGCAACAGAGACAACTACAGTATTTCCTTTCATTAGCCAATGTTAGTAACTTGTGATAATGCCTTTGGTCCAGAATTGTTGTTAAGCATGAATAGTAAAAATGTATGTCCTGGATGTAACTATATGTAGTATCTCTTGGACCATGTCTATCTCCTTTGTCCACAAAATTATTTTCCTGGAAATTGTACAAAGGCTGCAGTCACTAAAACCTACAGAAAATCCACAATATATCACATTTAAATAAGTTGAGTTGTTCACATAAAGGTAAATGTAAACCTAACAGAAAGTTGCATGGAAACAATAAGTGTGTCAAAACAGCACAAAGGCAATAGAGATGAGAGTCCTTTTATTTTATATCAGTAAAGCCATGGCACTACTGATATTGCCATGGGTTAGGGAGTAACTTGACACTCAGAATATGATGTATTCAGGCTGTAAAGCTGTTAAAGCTCTAACTAGAACCTACACCATCCGAATTTTAACTGACGTTTAACAGACTATGCTACGTGTTTCTCCCCAGACTGAATTTGCTAAACTGTTGCTTTGTACTATAGTTTTTCCTTCAACTCAACTTTCCATTACTATGGTTACATACACACAGTAGCCAGCTTTTATAGCAGCAGTCTTCTATGTGACAGCAGATGCAATAACTGTGTGGTCATAAAATTATGTGAATAAAAACAGAAATCGTTGGTCTAATTAGTTATCTGGATTTCTAGAGTAACTGAAATTTGTTTTTCAGCTTACCTATAAGTCATAACCTTGGAAATGTATATAGATGAATTTGTAAGATGTTATATGCAATTATTTTATAGAATGTGGGAGCAACACTTTTTCCAATAGATGAGTTTTCAGTTGTTCAATATTAATATTGAAAGTATTAAATACGTTCCATGCATTTGTATCACACTGTATCACATTCACTGAATGATTTCAGTTTTGAGGCCTAAAGTTTTTTTTTTTTTTTTTTTTTTTTTTTTATATTTGCAACTCTGAGACTGCCTCTCCACACTCAGAATCTAATTCGGAAACTAGCAGGAAGCAGGCAGGAAAACATCACGCAGGAGGGTGTGACATTTACAATACTCAATGTTCCTGTAATATTCTAATTCTAAAACAAGTAAAGTGTATGGCAAATGTTTTAAAACACACCCATGTTTGCTTATACCATTCCATAAAGAATACATTACATATATATGTTACCAGAAATAAATTGAATCCTCAAAATTGTGAATTGAAATGCGTATATTGAGATATGGATGTTATTTTTTTATATAGCATCTTTCCGTCCTTTTTTGTAGAGCACACATTATATTGCCTGAATGTTGCCTCTTTCAGCAGTCAAAGAAATTGTGATTTGGCAATAGTTTGGAGAGCAACTAATTGGGGATCATTTGAGAGGATAAACACGAATAGTTGATGACGGCTCCACTTCTCAACTTAATGGACTTATTGCGTCTGCTGCTAAATTCTTGGAACTAGACAACACATCACACTTCAGCAGTCTATTTGAGTCAACGTCTCCATGGGTCATGGCTGTTTTAAAGATAAAATGGATCAGCACCACGCTATTTTGCAGATGGCTGTAATTCTACACCAGAATTCGGTCATAAACTTGTAATGTATTACATCAAAAAAGAACCATAAGGAAATTTGAAACACAGATTCGACCACAGATTGCCTGATGCTTCTGCATTTTCTGTTTATTTTATCCAGATTACCATACACCTCAACCACAAAACCAGGGCTTGTAGGACACTGATTACAGCTACGCATGCAGTTTGACCACCCTTCTGTGAAATGAGAAGTGAAGTTCCAACAGCACAGCTGAGATCTCCTCGATTTGCTTTGATCATTGTTAGTGATAAGTAACCTGCATTTTATCAGTTTATTTGCTTATTTATCGCTTTATTTGATTATTTATTTCCATGCCCCACGCTTCAGAGATTTCCAGAACAGTGCAATAGCCAACAGAAAACACTGTGTCTCTCCCTTGCTCTCCCCCCTCTATCAACCTAACACTCAACACTTGTGAGTGATCTGAAACACCTTGTGGCTCTGTGATAATTCTCTGACCTCAGCGCTGCATTTGTTTGAATTAGAAAGTGCACGGTCCAAACCTCCTGACAACCATTTCTCTTAACAGTAAATCTTGAGTCTGAGAGTAAAGAAGTGTGTGTGCCTGAGAGAAGAGCTCAGGAGAAGATAGAGGGTCAAGTCTAAGGTGAGAGGCGTGAAGAAGTACCATAAGGGGCTCAGTGGCAGGCAGGCTGCATTTTCTCAAGACCTCATCTGAATCCCTCCGAACTCCATGGGCCTCTGCACTGTGGGCCCCCGGGGGACACAGCTGGGCAACACGTCGAGGGTAAAAGGCGAGGGCATGACTTATTGCCATGTGGAGAGAAAAGCACGGGCTGCGCCCCTGTGATGAAACCAAATTGAATAAAAGCAAAGACTCAAATGTGATCCAGATCTTGAAGCCAATGCCCTGGCAATGCTGTTTCAATTAGCTGGCTCACCAGTTCAAAGGCGAGGGCCCTGATACACTTCTGCTCCGCATGAAGCTGCTATCATCACATTGGCCGTTGCCTTTCACCTCCCCATTAGGGTACCATCTTTTTCCGCTCAGTGCCTCTGTCTGTCTGCTGACTGCACGCATGTTTTCCATTAAATGGATAGCATGACCATTGCCATTCCAGCTAGCAGAAACCAGTTTACAAACCTGCAAAGCTTTTACATAGCTAATAGAGGGAATTTCTGGCTAAAGGTTTTGACTGCACAATTTGCAATAGCCTACAAAACATTTTCACTTATTTGTTCCACTACTCTTGTTTGAGGATAGTGATGCACATATTTGAAGTTTGTTTTGGCTGCATTTTTTATTACTGCATGGGTTCTATTGTGACAATGAGATAAACTTCAATGGCGTATGGAAAGAAACAGATGTCTATTTATGGAGCAGTAACTCAGACCAACCTTCTGAGGTGGCAGAATGTTGTGTAGTGTGCTTAAAGATGAAGGTTGTTTAGAAGAGCTCTTAATTGAGCATGATTTAAGATTTCGTTCAGCAGTCAAGAATTATGCTTTTTCTGTTAATATTTGTTAAGAAGATAATGTATAGATGAAATATTTTTTAGGGCTGCCAACGAACAGACAACATGGACACCCATAAATAACAGCCATGCTTCTGTTTGTGACCTCTTCCATAAGAACGCTTCCAAATTCAGCAGAAATACAGCAGAATAGGGGTGCCAAACTCCTGACCTCAAAGCTCAGTGTCCTGTACATTTTAGATATGTCTAAATGAAATAATTAGGTCATCGGCAATATATTTTTGAACTTGAAAGTTGACAATCAACAAAAAGAAAGTGGCAGGTGTACAGGTAAGCTTTCTGTCCTGGCCAATGGTTTATGTTTTAGTTAAACCCCAATTGTTTTCAAAACTATCACTTGATAGTGGCTGGAAGCTGTTAAAAGCCCCTTTTACCACTATTCACACTAGGTAAAAACGTAGTTGGTTTTAAGTGATGGATTATTGCAAACTTAATTACTTTTGATACTACATGAAATTTTAAATCTGATATTTTTGACACAAAAAAGATTAATTCTCAACTGCAGCTCTTTCATATACGCCTTGTTAGAACAAGATTGCAATTTTTTTGCCTTTAGAACTGCCAGAACATTACATCTTTGTAATGTTCTGGTAATGCCAGAACATTACCAAGATATAGATTTTGGAAATGACAACTGACATAGTTGTTGTAGATATGTTAGTTGTACAACCATGGTGCAAATCTCTCATTCGAATGTCACAAAGTCTCAAATTCCATCAAACTGAGTATCACAGATTGGTGATACCATTGGAGTGGACAAAACAAGTTGTCAGGCATTTAGATTACGTTAGCTTTGTGACATTGCAGAGCAACCTGTTGAAACTAACCCTCAGGAGATCAATATGGTCAACTTGAAAAATGAATAAGGTTAAAGTATTTAAATAATCTCCAGCATTCTTAACATGTGGCAAGAACATATATTAAAATATATTCCTCACATTTTTATCCTACAAAAAATAATCTGAACAAGGAGGAATTTATGCAATTAAGATGTTTAGATCATAATCTTACTCTGCTTTTTGAATGTTCCAGCGGAGGCTTATAACCACAGCCACCGCTTCCCCAATATGGCACCCTCAGTGGTGTTGTGCTGCTATTCGTCATCTGCTTCAAGATTCAATTAATTAAACAATTAGATATTGTGTTCCTCATAACTGTTAACCACTGGTTAATTTGGCTGCTGTTGGTTTTCTGTCATTTCAAAGTAGTTTTCCAATTCTCCTCTGGCATCAACAGGGCATCTGTGTGCATATAACTACTGCTCATTTATTATAATATCTTTCTTAGGTGATCGTCTGTTAACCTTTGAGATGGTTGTGTATGAAAGTCCCGAAAGCAATTCCCAGCATGCTTCGAAAAACCTGTCTTATAATCACAGACACACGTCACTGAAATATCTGAATAAAACATGTTTTCCCACTGTTGAGGATCCAACAGCAACTGGTTTTCTGTGCCAACCTGTTGGTACTGCAGTGTGATTGATTCGTCATTCGTATTAACAGGTTACTTTACAGGTGAATGGATATTTTGCAGCATAGCTACTGTTTTTTTTTTC